GAACCTGTAGTTTACATGTAACACGAACCTGTAGTTTACATGTAACACGAACCTGTAGTTTACATGTAACACGAACCTTTAGTTTACATGTAACACGAACCTGTAGTTTAGATGTAACACGAACCTTTAGTTTACATGTAACATGAACCTGTAGTTTACCTGTAACACGAACCTGTATTTTACATGTAACACGAACCTGTAAATTTACATGTAACACGAACCTGTCTTATATATGTACATACCTGGGACTGAGTCGTAAATGCAGTTTCAATTATTCTTAGTATGCTGATTGCCGTATCTAACGTCGGTAACTTGTAGCTGGATGTTGTTGCTAACTTCATATGCTTTCGTATATAAATATAATTAGTAGCTATAAAATTTAGGACAACATTTAATTCTTGAATTTAAATTAATTTCGTTACTGAATTAAGCAGTTCCTTGTTAGAGAATCTTGAGAAGGAAATTGAACTGAATTTAACGAATTTCAGCTTCGTTTCGATATTTTTCTGACCAAACTTTTATTCTTTTTTCGTTCAACAATTGATTACATGGGTTAAATTACAATATAAGGTGAAATATTTTGGAAAAACTATGGAAATTTTTAAAAAAATTAAATTTCCAGCACTTAAACATTCAATACCGGTGAGTTTTGGTGTAAAACTTATAGCGAGGAGTAATCTACTTCACACTTTCTCGTTCACTTTAGTCACCGTGTTTTATCAAGAACTCCTTAACTCTACATCGTTTTGATCCACATATGGAACCTTTCATATTCTATTAAACGTACCGCCACGTTTTTCTTTCTGAAATAAAATGAAACTCTAATAAAAAGTTTATTTGAAGGTAAAAGAGATAAAAAACTTTGATAATAAGTTTATTTAAAGGTAAAAGAGAGTTCAACCGTGCAACACTTATGAACATCGGGGCGCTGGAGAGCGTGAAGCTGTACCCCTACGACTGCCTCGTCTTCCACGACATCGACCTGCTGCCTGAAGACGACCGCAACTTGTACGCCTGTCGTGAGCAACCTCTGCATCTGAGCGTCGCCGTGGACACCCTGGGCTACACGTGAGTACAACAATGTACAGTATAAATTCTAGGTGAGTGTCGCCGTGGACACCCTGGGCTACACGTAAGTACAACAATGTACAGCATGAATTACAGGTGAGGCATATAATCTTCACCAGAACTACAAGTGAGTCTTGCAAGTATACAGCATGAACTACTTGTGAGTCACACAATCTACATCAGAACTACATTTGAATCTTGCAGTATACAGCATAAACTACTTGTGAGTCACATAATATACACCAGAGCTACAAGTGAGTCTTGCAGCATACATCATAAATCACACGTGAGGCACACAATCTACACCATGAACTACAAGTAAGTTTTGCCTTCCAGCAATGAACTATATTGAAAATATTATCTGATATTAACACAACAAGTGAGTCACGCCATCCAACAATAAACTATAGCAAATGATATTATCTAATACTAACACTGCAAGTGAATCTCGCTATCGACCCCATCCACCTACAACAGTAGTGGATTTTTTACTTAGCCAGCAGTAGTCACGACTTGATCAGTTTAAGATGAGCAGGAAATAGTCTAAGAAAGATACGACCAGAATGTTATTATCATTCAAACAATTCGCAGGATGACCCTATTTCTCAAGATAAATTTTCTCTAGGTTGCCATACGAAAGTATCTTCGGGGGCGCAGGCGCAATCTCAGTGGAACAATTCCGGCGAGTGAACGGCTTCAGCAACAAGTTCTGGGGCTGGGGCGGGGAAGATGATGACATGGCCAACCGCATTAAACACCACGGGCTGTCCATCTCGCGCAACCCCGCCAATATCTCACGCTACACCATGATCAGGCACTACAAGGATAAACCCAATCCTCACAGGTTTGACGAACAAAACTGCCCTCAATTTTGTTAAGAATTCGAATCTTAGCTTGACAAGTCGTCAAACTACGAGTGCGTTGCGTTTGGGACCGTGAAATCCAGGCTCACTTCGTGCATCGGTCCGTTTCTACTATCGTAATCGTTGTCAAGTGATCTCTGTTCCTCTGTTGGTTCTCAGACAACTGACGCTCATCAGGTGGCTAATTAATTGCTACGGACGACTGCTGGCCATCACTTATTATCACGTGGTACGGTCGAAAGCAGAAAGCACTTATAGAAGCAACAACTGATCGAATAAGTTATGACCTAGTTGCTTCTGCATCCTTTCAAGTGACGCGGTAGTGCGCGCGAAATTCACGGAACTAGATTTCCATGTTCGGAATTATTTATTCATCTACATAAAGGATATGTAAGTTGTTTGTGGAATGCCTGGAGTACCAATCGACTGAAAAAATTATCAGAACAACGCTTGCGTCGAGAAAAATACATAGATGGTAAGCAATGAATTATCAGTTGTTCCAACGAGGTAATTGTTTATTCACGTATTTTGGAAAATTTCTTTAACAACATCAATAGCAAATTATTAGCTCCATTTAAAACGTACATACAGTGCCGGAAATGGCTATACGACCACCCAGTTTTCTCCAAATATTTTTTCTTGCACAAAAAATTATGGGATTCTAATTATACGAGGTTAAACTACGTTTAAAAACGGTTCCAAGGCTATGCGAAAAAAATAATTTTCTCAAAATATATGAGAAGAAATTATGAAAAAAGAAAAACCTAGGTGGAAACGGTTATAAGACCAAGATATTTTTTTTCCGTTTGTGGATCACATACACTCATTTTAATAGGCAATCTCACCTCCTTCCGCCATAATTACCTCAATGCATCTTCTCCCCACGCTATTTACCATATAATCCAGTGTCTTTTGAGAAATTTAATCCCAAGAACGAAGGATAGCCGTGCTCAGGTCACTCACAGATTGAAACTGGCGCTCATTTTGGTAAACATCCCTCGCCATGATACCCCATAAGTTTTCAATGGGTTTGAGGTCAGGACTTAGCGCCGGCAACGGCAACAGAGTAATAATCTGCTCTAGGAACCACATGTTTGCCGATTTTGAGGTGTGAATCGAAGCATTGTCATGTTGGAAAACATATGTTCCCTCATGTTTCTCATCGGCAAAAGGGAGAAGTTGGTAAAACATCGTGTGCTTGTAAGCCTCGGAATCTTGTCTCCCATGTAAAATAGCTAGAGTTGATTTTCCCTTTCAGCTAAGCGCCCTAAAAAACCATTACCGAACCAACACCAGATTGCCGCTTGAAAAAAAATTCAGGCTCACGGCCCAGTGGTGCCAATAGCATTGCCATCCATCTGGATCATACAGATTGAACTTTTTTCATCACTGAAGGTAATCATGTGCCATCCCTTACCAATAAGCAAATATTTTTCAGCAAATTTTTGTCGGTTGATAATATGATTTTGTTGGAGCACAGGGGCATTTTTTCCTCGTCATGTATTTGAATTTCTTCGAGTCATGCAATGTCTGACGGATGCGTCGTGCTGTCACATCAACTCCAGTGGCCAATTTTATAGAAGTAGAGGTAGCGCAAGTTTTAGAAGCCTCAGAAAACAGTCTCCTAAGATCCCTGTCGGTTAATTTTGGGGTTGGTCAAGTGTGCTGTTTTCACCCGTAGCCGCCCGGATTAACAAAAAAATTATTGTGCAATGGGTTTTGAGCGTTTTTAACCCATTTCGATGTCCCGTTGGCTTCTATATATACTGCATTTCACAAAGCCGAAAACTGCGTCTTCTCGGCCTCAGTGAGTCTTGTCACATTTGGCATATTTTTTACTTCGAAAAAATATAAGTGAGGACACTGAACTACACCAGAAGTACACCAGAAAGGCCCTAAAGGACGAAAATCAATATCTTCTTTATATTGCTGTACTTTTTAAAGTGGAAATGTTACAGAAAGATACCAATATGGAGAAAAACCTATCCTGGTCTTATAACCATTTCCACCTAGGTTTTTCTAATTTTCGTAATTTCTTCTCATATATTTTGAGAACATTATATTTTTCGCATAGCGTTGGAACCGTTTTTAAACGTAGTTTAACCTCGTATAATTAGAATCCCTTAATTTTTTGTGCAAGAAAAAATATTTGGAGAAAACTGGGTGGTCGTATAGCCATTTCCGGCACTGTATATACAGATTTTGTTATAAAAGGAGACATACGTGCGATGACAGGAAAGAAACGCTAAGGTATCATCGGAGTGATCGGTTCTTCGCTTAGGATTAAAAATATAAATCGGTTATTAGCTAAGGAGACTGTGATACTAGGAGGTCACGTTAATGACGTTTGTTCTATCTATAATCGAAAATATAATTACAAAACAAGGATGCCATCAAAAGCTTGCCAATCCTTACCACTTTTGTAAGGAACCATTATGTACGAAAGTGACAACTGTTATTGCGAATCGGTGACATTCGCATGCATCGTCTGTGTTCAAGCCTCAGGTACTCTGTTCCTCTTGCTCTAGTTCCAGTCGATGCGCCCAGCATTATGTTGCAGCTTATATAAATATATAGTGACCAGACACGGAACTAGAAGTAATATCGTAGCTCGACTTCCAGACTCTCCGCTTTACATAATTTAGTATATACTTTAAAAGATTCTGTACTCAAAGCGATGTTGCATCTCAGGTTTGAAATGCTGCGCTCGGGCAGGAGCCGCTACGCCTCAGATGGACTCAACTCTTTGAAGTACCGCGTGCTGGACGTACAGCTGCGCAGACTGTACACTTGTATCTATGTTGAGATCCTAAATACATAACAGCTGGCGTAAAAATGTTGGGCGCGGCTCTTTTCATAACATAATTTTATTTATTTTATTGATTTTCAGTGGTTTAATTATTTTAATTTGTTACAAGAACAAGTCTGCAGTACATGTCGTTGTGATGACATCAATTTCATTTAAATATAACGTAATAAAATTGAATGAGAATATATTTTTCAGTCACCTTTCTACGTTTTGTGTGTGCTATTTATTCGTTATGTGCAGAATAATATTATCACGAGCACATAGTCGGCACTATAGAACTCTGCATGAGATGAAAATGGAAAACAACGGTAGGAAATACGCCTGAAATTAATAGATTTATTTTTCTTGCTCAGTATGACCTTATAATGATACTTCTATCAAGGCGGTAGAATGATCGAGAACGTATAGTAACGGATAACAAATGATTAAAATGAACGTGTATAAATGTATGTATTCTCGGGCCCTGACTGAACCCTTGCACAAACACTGGGTAGGCTCGTACGCAAAGTTCATTTAGGTTTCTGCTCAGTGTAAGAAATAACAAGCCCCGAGAGATATCGAGAGATAACAAGCCCCTGAGAAGCTTGTTATCTCGACTGGCTTAATTTGGACAGGTCAACCCCTATCAAGCTCTCATGAATCGATTTAGTTAAAAGTTCGGCAGCGGTGATATTCATGAAATGGGGTTTTACAAAATTCGAAGTTCCTTCGTACGAGGCGTATTTCTAGCGTAAACGTAACGTACGTTCAAACTTTTAAAGTTTTATCGTAAGTAACGTTTTTGAGTTAAGCCGCCGCAGGACTGCATGCGGTCTCCGTTTTGCGCAAACGCGCTTATAGTATCTACATTTGTTATTCCGATACGTTATCTTGCCAACTCTCACAGTTTGTCCTATTTGTAATTGTCATAAGCAACCTGGTGTCATCCGCGAATGATGATGTCGAGGAGCTGCTCACTTCCTTTCCAGGGCTTACATTTTAACACCAATTCGAGCGCGCGAAACAATTAACGAATAAAATTTCAAGAGAGGTGCATTAGAATTGAAATAAAATTTTGCATCTTCCCATACCTGGTTATTTTAAACTGTGCAGCAATCGGAAATATTTTTATCCTCAGTTAAATTCTTAACATGCTGGGATTTTAGAAATTTAAACTTCGAATCACAAGCCTTGGATTAACACATTTATTTTTCTCGTTCAAATTAGCGAGAATTCATGTTTATTTTATTGAGATTTTAGGAGGTTGTGGTGGTTCGATGAATCCGTCGGAGCTCACACTCGACGCTACAAATTAAAAGATTAATATTGTTAGATTTACTGAGATATAAGAGATTGACTGTTTACCTAAAAATCGAAAAATAAAATTATTAAGATATAAATGAAATTGTTTGAACTTGCAGAACCATTTATATAACTAGTTTATAAGCCGGCAGCCGGCCATTTAGAGTGTATGTGATGCTAAGACTACTGTAATCGAAGAGCGTTCTTCAGATAGTCTTTTTTTTTCTTGTAGGTGTTCTTCAATAAGATAAAATCGTTACTCCATCCCTGAGGTAGAGCGACTTCATTGTAAGACCAATAATTTCGTTGTTTCATGTAGTGCTTCAGTTCAAGTTTGGACCAGGTGCAATGAATGTACTCCACAGAGAGTGTTTGTAAGATTTCAGAAAATTGTCAACATAATTCATGAACATAAAATAAACACACCAAATGTACAGTATGAGAGAATACTGGCTCTTAAATTTCATGGAATATTGTAATTGTTAATAGGTTTGGGAGTGAAACGAAAGATTGCTTTACATGTAATAGAAGATGTATCGTATTCACGATTTACCTAAATATCAACTTTGTCCCACGGAATGGTTTTGAGGACCTCCAGCTCGAAGCCCTTGACATCCAAGCTGAAGTAGTGCACAGTCGTCGCGATGAGTGCCAATAGCAGGGAGTAGATGGGCAGACACTGAACTTCGATGACGTTTGTCATGTTTAAGGTTAAATCCACGTCATTGCTGCTTATCTTCCTTAAGTTGAATTGCTGTTCAAACATTACCTGCAGGAATAATGTGTGCTGATTGCATTTTGATCGAATCAGTCGGATTTATTAGCAATCCAGCCATATTAAATGTATCGACCGAGATTGCTTCCATTTCCATCACTGATTTTAATGAATGGAGTTTGATCAAATCTTCAAATGAATTCGGAGCTTGCAGTTAATAAATAAAAAACGTCATTTAAAGGACTCACGGAATGAGGATACGGCATCGTGCTGAGACAAGCGCCCACTGTCCAGGCCATCCTATTCTTCTTGTGCACCAATTTGTAGTTTTTTGTATCGCCTTCGATCAAGAGGCCTCGCCAGCCCAGGGTCTTCTCGAAAACGAGAGAGTTGGAGCGCGTTTCCCCATCAAGCGCTCCACACTCGACAAAGAATCCATCGTGCTATTGAAAAATTAAAAGATAGATTATTACTTCAGGCTGCATTCATAATATTCGTTGCGAACAATTTAGATTTTTATTCGGACTAAAGGCAGGACGATGGCATGAGATGGAAAATGAAAAGCGTTGACGGTTTGGGTGACAGCTCCGCAATACAACCTTGTAGTGCTTGTAGACGAATTACTTATTTGGGTCGGAACAATAGAATCCAGCACCTACAAAATGACTGTAATATACAATGACTGTAATCTCAAGCTGAAAAGTGTTACTTTCATGTAAATATATATTAAGATGAGCCTTAAATAATATGGTTAGTTGTAAAATATGCAGACATTATAAGTATTTTTCTGAGATCATTTCCAAACAATAATGTAATTTATCATTGTTGTTGTAAATGAAAGCAATAATAGTGCAGTGCCAACCTGAAAGATGATTCTGAACAGTTCAACTAAAAACGAGTTTCGTTCTTGGCCTTTATATATGTTACTCATCTCAAGGCCAATGAATTCAATTCTATATCCTTTTTTAAAAATGATTCTAGATTATATATCTAAAAATATAATTTCAGGTACAGGTAAAACCATCATTCCGAAACGGCAAGTATCGTCATTACAGGCTCGAATGGATTCTTGATATATATAAGAGGACGGAATATTAGAAGACAGCTAAGTACAGGTAGCCAATTACGCAGTGCGCAAGTACTGCTAAGTAGACGTAACTCAAAACGGTCTATAACTTAACTTATAAGATATAAATGGCAAACCTCTCTGACTTTCAAAAAGACCAAATTGTGGGGCCCGTATGGCAGGGTAACGTTAGTGTGAAAGAAACTTACCGAATGCTTGACGTTTATAGAGGTACTGTCTCAAAAGTAATGACTGTTTTTTGAAGAGAAGGAAAGACGCCCTCAGTAACGCACAGGTCAGGCCGTAAGTCGAATTTGTCTAAAGCCCCGTCCACACGTTCAAACTTATCGTCAGTCCTGCATGTCATGCCAGGTTTGACAAGACGGAGCGTGTGGACGCTCAAAGTTTGACGTCTCGCATGACGTGTGGGCTGAATTTGAGGTTTGACAAACCTGGAAAAGACGGACGGGCGAGACCTTTGGGTTCATGCAAGACTGACGATAAGTTTGAGCGTGTGGACCGGCAACCGACTATAAGACAGTTGGTACCTGAATCGAATTGCAAGAGACAATCAAACCCAGTTAAAATTTAGGGCAGGGAATGGAGCAGGCCGTCGCTGGCTGTAGAGCCGACGTAGAGACACGAAAGAGTCGCGATAGAGCAGAAATGTCCGCATTAGAGACATTTATGCTCGCGCGGCTACGTCAGCCGCGTAAAAGTGCTAATTAATCTCTGGGTACCTGCCCAGATATGCTTTGTCCTGCCGACACGCAGCCCNGCAACGGACTAAAAAGGAGAAAATAAAATACTTCAAAAAACTTTAAAAAAAAACACGTTTTTCTTGTGGACTAAAAAGTAGAAAATAAATTATGGCTCGCCCCAAAAAACGTGGGTCGGGCTGTACGTTCACCATCAAATTTCCAAAATTCGCGTGTTGTGTGCTTTTCGCTTTAATCATAAATCTGCCCGACACGTTTTTTGGGGCGAGCCACAATTTATTTTCTACTTTTTAGTCCACAAGAAAAACGTGGTTTTTTAAAAAGTTTTTTTTTTAAGTATTTTATTCATGCATATATACGGATCAAATTACTTACCGCTATGAGCTCCCGCTCTGCAAACGTCGACGGCAGTTCCGAGAAACGAACGCAGATCCTCCACGTCGTAGTCCACGCCTTTACCAGCTTGACCACGCTAACACCTTACCGCCCTAGCCTCTTTGAACTACATAACCTTAATATAGCACAAATGACTCGCCATCATCTAGCAAATCGAGGAATAGCTATATTTGTGGTTGAACTAGGTAGATATTATTCGTATGCACTAATTAAAAAAATGAACACTGTAGATATTCGTATGATTCAGTCAGTTGAAATAAATCATTTTTAGAGCAAAATTTGTCTAGTAATTTATCTTATTGCATTAGCTTTATGTCATTCGATAGTTTGATAGGAAAATTGACAACGTAGGTACTCAAATCATTAGTCTGCTTAATTCGCAAGTTCACCAAGAGTTTTAAAGCAAAGAAAGCGCCAAATAAAATCACCATATCTTCAATGAAAACGTTTCGGAGACCAGCACCGAAACGCAGGGAAATTCTATCAATTTTATTAACTGATGATGGAGCTAGTTTAAAATTTTCATTGAAAATATGGTGAATTCCGTTGGTATTTTCTTTTCTTTTACATTCATTGTTATGTATCGTTTTCTGTACATCAAGTTAGAAAATTTTCTCATGATAAACTGATACATATCTTGCTTTTGAAAAGTGTGGAAGAGCGGAAACATTTCTGTTTGCGTGTTAAAACTGGGAAAGCAATTAACATTCTTACGTGATGCAAAGTATTAAAATAATGACCTGATTAAAATATCATATCTGGCTACAGAAATTGGCTCAAAATATCGTATATTACGAATGAACTAGATAGAGGATGGAGTTCATTCTCCCGCCAC